GGGGCTGAGCTGATGTGATGGCTCTGTCCCACAGGGTAGTGCAGAAGCAGATGGCTTTCATGCTAGGCCGGCATGGGGTGTTTCTGGAGCTGAGTGAAGATGTGGAGGAATATGAGGACCTGACAGAGATCATGTCCAATGTGCAGCTCAACAGCAACTTCTTGGCGTTAGCTCGGGAGGTGAGACTGCCCTTTTCACCATCAAGGCTTTCCCTCTTGGTTGTGGTTCTACCTGACATTTCACTTCCCTGCCTATAGCTCTGACTAGACTTCTCTTGGTTAGAATTGCCATTCAGTGGGATAGCAGAAGGGACAGCTAGGGGAGGACTGGGGGAACAGTTGTGACCCTCTGACTTCTCTTCAGCTGGATATCATGGAGCCCAAGGTGCCTGATGACATCTATAAAACCCACCTAGAGAACAACAGTGAGTAGCCATCTGCATGTGTGTGGAGACTGGAGTATTGTTAATTACCCCTTGTATTGAGAGTGATAACTTGGCCCAACACACTTATCCCATAGAGCTCAGAATTCCCACTTACCTTTTCTCCAGGTCACTGTTGGGGGCAAAGATAGAGGATCCTAAGGGGCTAGCTCAGAACCAGAGACCAGCCGCCATGCTGTGTTCCTTTCTTGCCCTACTCTAAACCATCCTTCCTTTCTTTTTCTCTCCCTCTTATGCAGGGTTTGGGGGCAGTGGCTCTCAGGTGGACTCTGCCCGCATGAACCTGGCCTCTTCTTTTGTGAACGGCTTTGTGAATGCAGCCTTTGGCCAGGACAAGCTGCTGACTGATGATGGCAACAAATGGCTGTATAAGAACAAGGATCATGGTATAATTCTGTTCCACTATATCTTTGTGTTGCTTTGGTCACTCTTGTTATCTTCTTAGGTCCATATGTTACCTGACAAGCGATCCCTAGTGCAATTCCTTGGAGAGCTCTTTATAATAGTTTTCTCAGTGTAGGACCATTTTAAGACTAAGATTTTTCCTTGGTGTAGGAATGTTGAGTGCAGCTGCATCCCTTGGCATGATTCTGCTGTGGGACGTGGATGGTGGCCTCACTCAGATTGACAAGTACCTGTACTCCTCTGAGGATTACATCAAGGTTAGTCTGGGCATAGCCCACTAATGGGGACATTCCCGTTCTATCTTCTAGGGCCCATAGGGCCTCCCTTTCACTAGTAAGATCTACTTGGCTTTCAACTCCAGTTAAGGTGGGTGCTGCACTGAGGACCATGTTGTGTCCTTGGTGGTGAGGCAGGTAGAATAGCCTGAGTGAAGAATCTGTTTGCATTTTGCAGTCAGGAGCCCTCCTGGCCTGTGGCATCGTGAACTCGGGGGTCCGGAATGAGTGTGACCCTGCTCTGGCACTGCTCTCAGACTATGTTCTCCACAACAGCAACACTATGAGACTTGGTTCCATCTTTGGGTAAGGCTTCTTGCTTTCCCTTCTAGTAAGTAGCATTCAGTCTGAAAGCTCTGTGAGAACAGGAACTGGCCCCTTTCACCTTAGTATTGTATTGCCAACAACTACCATTGTGCCTGTCGAGTATTTGGCTCTTAGTGACTGTTGAAATCATGAATGAATGTCTGATTCTCTTTGTTTCTTCCTTGTCTTATCCTTGGATGTGTGTTGGGGACTGTCTATCCCTGGGTTTTGCAGGCTAGGCTTGGCCTATGCTGGCTCCAATCGTGAAGATGTTCTAACACTGTTGCTGCCTGTGATGGGAGATTCCAAGTCCAGTATGGAGGTGAGTAGAGGCTGTTGGTCATTTGAGGGAGGTGGGGAAGGTGCTCTGAGTTCTACCACTGATAAATAGTGAAAAAAAAGAAGTTGGGGGAGATATATGGAAGAAAGGAGGCAGGGAGGGAGGGTGGGATATAGATAGACAGAGAGCAAGGAAGGAAGGGAGGAAGAAAGGTGGATAGATAGATAGAAGTAGGGGTGGGGTTGGGAGAGGGAAGTGTATCACTTTTAGTGAAATCCCTTGGAACTGGGATTCTAAGCCTCCGGTGATGTTAATGGCTAAAGAGTTAACATTTGGGTATTGAGTTTCAGTCCTTGGAATCCATGAGGAAGTACCAGACTAGAGTGGGGAGTAACTAAACCCTGCTTGGGGTGGGTGAGTCTCACTCACTGTTTTAGCTATTGGCTAACACTAAATTTTCTCACTTGTGCAGAGTCGTTTTAGTGATGGATAAATATAGTATGGTGGCTGAAAGCATGGGCTTTAGTCAGAAAGACCTCGGTTCAAATTCTGTTACTTCTGCTTATAAGCAGTGAGACCTTTCAAATTCTGTCACTTCTGCTTATAAGCAGTGAGACGTTGGACACATACCGTATTTCCTCATGTGTAAGATGCGCCCATGTATAAGATGCTCCTTAATTTTGGTGCCCAAAATTTGAAAAAAATGTATTACATAAAGTTATTGAACTCAAGTTTTATTCATCATAAAATTCATGCAACTCCTCATCACTGTCAAAACTCCCAACCATTAGCTTGTCCTCATCTGTGTCTGATGACAAATCACTGCCTTCATATATTGCCTCGTCCTCACTTCCATCTATGGCATTTGAAATCTATAACCACTATATAAGACCTACCCAGTTTTTAGACATCAAATTTTTTGAAAAAAGGTGCATCTTATACATGGGGAAATACGGTAACTCAATCTCTTCAGCTTTATTTTTCTCATTAATGAAAGACCTGTTTCTTGGAGTTGTTGCGAGGATTAAATGTTAATAGTATGCAAAGTAGTTGGCATAGTGGCTGACATAGAGAAAGTATTCAGTGAGTGGTTGCTACTGTTGTTACTTGACCTACCATCAGAAAGTTATTACCTAGTATGGCTATAGCAGACTGTAGGAATTGGCTGTCTTGAATCAAGATAGGTAAACAACTATTTTAATGACTTTCTTTGTGTAAAACTGATTTTCCTATTTCTAGGTGGCAGGTGTGACAGCTCTCGCCTGTGGAATGATAGCAGTGGGATCCTGCAATGGAGATGTCACTTCCACTATCCTTCAGACCATCATGGAAAAGTCAGAGACTGAGCTCAAGGACACTTATGCCCGTTGGCTTCCTCTTGGACTGGGCCTCAATCACCTGGGTGAGGGGATGTCTCTATTTATTTGGGCAAAAGGCTGATAGTAACAATACAACAGGGAGGGTTTATTTGTCAGGCTGTGCTGTATGGAAGCAGGTGTCCTCTGACGCCTTGAATCTGTCCTGTAGGGAAGGGAGAGGCCATCGAGGCAATCCTGGCTGCACTGGAGGTTGTGTCAGAGCCATTCCGCAGTTTTGCAAACACACTGGTGGATGTGTGTGCCTATGCAGGTCTGTGTCTGTGCATCCCAGTAACCTCTCACTTCTCTCCTGGACCTTCTTTCAGATTGTCGTTTCTCAGTTATTCTGATCTGCATTAGATTCTTTAGCTTCTCCTATTCCTGGAGTAAGCATTTCCGTGGTGCCTTCTCATTTCTACCCTTCCTTACCCTTAACCATCCTGCTGCAGGCTCTGGGAATGTACTGAAGGTGCAGCAGCTGCTCCACATTTGTAGCGAACACTTTGACTCCAAGGAGAAGGAGGAAGACAAAGACAAGAAGGAAAAGAAAGACAAGGATAAGAAGGAAGCCCCCGCCGACATGGGAGCACATCAGGTTCTATGGGCAGTTGGGCACTCTCTTGAGTGAGACTCTTGAGGAAAGATAAGCATGTAGGAGAGCGGGGGCGGGCTGGGTTTTGGTGTGTTTTAGGGCCTCTCTGGGCGTTGCTGTGTATTGAAATAGCATGAGACTGGGTTCTGTACATGAGGGGTAAGGGTGTGCCCTACAGGACAGCTTTTCTTCAACAGGACTCAAGTCAAGGGTGAGTGTTTTGTTCCCTGAGCTTACTGGGTTTTGCTGCCTCTTCAATTGCAGGGAGTGGCTGTGCTAGGGATTGCCCTTATTGCTATGGGAGAGGAGATTGGTGCAGAGATGGCACTACGAACCTTTGGTCACCTGGTGAGTATTGCATGGAAAAGATGGGAATATATTGGTTTTGATGTCCAGTGTTCCCTAGAGGAGACTTTCCTGATGGTTTTTCATGGTTGAGAAATGTTTTTTCTGTACTCTTTCTATAAAATTTGATTAAAGCCCCTTTTACCCATCAGTCTGTTCCTGTAAATGAGCTTGTTTTTATTGCTTTCTGTGATACTGTTGTTATTTTATCGCCAGCTGAGATATGGGGAGCCCACACTCCGACGGGCTGTGCCTTTAGCATTGGCCTTAATCTCTGTTTCAAATCCACGACTCAACATCCTGGATACCCTAAGCAAATTCTCTCATGATGCTGACCCAGAAGTTTCCTATAACTCCATCTTTGCCATGGGCATGGTGGGCAGTGGTGAGTGAGAGTCAGAAAAAGATCATAAGCAGCTTGGAGGAAGGTTTGAGACCCTTTTTTCAAGCCACTGTAATGTTTAATATTTCCAGGTACCAACAATGCCCGTCTGGCTGCGATGCTGCGCCAGTTAGCGCAGTATCATGCCAAGGATCCCAACAACCTCTTTATGGTGCGCTTGGCACAGGTAAAGAATAGAACTCTTTTCCTTAGAGTGTGCCAAGGGAACTATCTGTGGGGATGGAAGGGAGACATGTAGTGACATGAAGGGAACCTTGAATTAGTCTGAAGGGAGTATATGTGTTGTGGGATTTCTGTGTGGCCAGGTCAGGTGATGTCTTTTCAGATGTGACTCCCCACCTCCACTTCTCTCTGTATTTTTCAGGGCTTGACACATTTAGGGAAGGGCACACTCACCCTCTGCCCCTACCACAGTGACCGGCAGCTTATGAGTCAAGTGGCCGTGGCTGGGCTGCTCACTGTGCTTGTCTCTTTCCTGGATGTCCGCAACAGTGAGTTCCCCTCTCAGGAATCTTATATGACGGCACATGGTGCCCTGTCTCCACCCCTCCCAGGGCCACCTTGATAATTTAGGAGCAAGACTTTGAGCTAGCTCGGTAATACTGGGTTCCTGAGGTTCCAGGATCTGTGATGGGTCTCATGAGACTTTCATCTCCCACACTTTTGATGTGGCCCAAAGAAATTTGAGGATGGAGAAATAAACCCAGTTTCTGCTCTTGGGTGACTGGGAGAAAGTGATTATACAGTCTGAGGGCTGTGGGCAGAGTAAAGTGGGGGCATCTCTGGTTCGTAGTACCTGAGGGGTTAAAGAGTCAGGACTGGAGTGGGGTCCCAAGGTTTAGGCCAGGCCTGCCCTGATGCTTGTAACTATATCTTGTGTTCTCTCAGTCATCCTAGGCAAATCACACTATGTATTATATGGGCTGGTGGCTGCCATGCAGCCCCGAATGCTGGTTACATTTGATGAGGAGCTGCAGCCGTTGCAAGTGTCTGTCCGTGTGGGCCAGGTAAGGCGTTAAGCAGAGGGGAGGGCTCAGGCTGTATTCTAGAACTTGGAGAATGCACATGTACCTGCTTCTCTGACACTGATATGGGCCCTGGATTGCTGCTACATTCCCATCTGGAGTCCCATCATCTCAATTTTCTCACCCTACAGGCAGTGGATGTGGTGGGCCAGGCTGGCAAGCCTAAGACCATCACAGGGTTCCAGACACACACTACCCCAGTGTTGCTGGCCCATGGGGAGCGGGCAGAACTGGCCACTGAGGAGTATCTTCCTGTCACCCCCATTCTGGAAGGTTTTGTTATCCTTCGGAAGAACCCCAACTATGACCTCTAAGTGGCCACCGGGGGCTCTGAGTTGCAACTGATATATCAGCGGGTTCTGGTTCCTTCTGTCAGGGGTGAACACTGTTCCAGACCTTTGGGGGAATTGTAACCTCCTGTTCTTTTGTTACTGAGTGAGATAACTGTTGAATAAAGACCTTTATCCCTGAGGTCCCTTTCTGTCTGTTTTCTGGGGTATTGTGACTAGAGACCAGACTGGGGTGGGGAGTAGATGTGAGAGGGCATTGTTTGTAACAACTGTGAGCCTAGGCTAGTTGGGAGGCTGCCCTTAACAGAAAGAACTAAACCCCTTTTCCTTCTCTCTTTCCTAATCATCTTCTTAAAACAGTGGTTCATCTTGAGGGGCGTAAACCTTTGAGATGCTGATAAATATAATGGACCTTCTTTCTAGGAGATGCATGTATACAAAGTCTAACACAAACAAGTAACTTTCCAAGGGGCTTGTGGATCCCATACACCCCCTACTCCCACCCCATCAAAGCACACTCACCTCAAGCCCATCATTCCCTGACTTTGGACTAAGGATACCTGATCTAGGAGGCAGTTAGCCCCATTCTTTGTTTTGTTTTTTTTTTAAGATTTTATTGGGGAATTGAGGGAGAGGAACAGCGCTGGAGAATCGGGGGAAGGGGAACAGACAAGTTGCTGTTCTTTTGTTCTTCAGTCTAGTTGTGGAGGACGTCGCTTCACTGGCCCATGTTGGTATTATCATTGCGCTCTTCTCGGATGAGGCAGATTGGTCGCTGGCCTCTGGACGGCCGCTCACGGCGGCTCTTGGCAGCTCACACCAGCCACTGGCCACTCACGCTGGCTGCCGGCCACACACGGTAGCTTATGGCAGCCCACTGCAGCAGGGGCTGCAGCCTACGTGGTCGCCAGCGACTCATGGCAGCCCAGCTCCAGGTCGAGCTGTTGTTCACCGTCTTAGCTGTAGAGGGCAGTGTCACTGGCCCTCATGTGGGATCTGAACCGGGGCACTGCTGCTCAGAGCTGGCGTCCCAAGCCAACTCAACCAACACGCCACTCGGCTGGCCCTAGCCCCACTCTTTTTAATTTGACGATGTGCTGCTGAATGAAAGTGACATCTTTACCTCCTGTGACCCTCTGTCCCTTTTGGGAGCCTGCTCATTTGATCATGTTAACGTCTACTTCTGGGCCGCCCGTTCAGAAACGGCATAAGAAAGCTTGACTCTGACCTTCCTCCTAGTGTAGCAATGGGAAAGATGTGGCCTCCTTCCTGGAATGGAATCACTTTTGATATGCAGTCCTTCCTGGTAGGGTTGGTATGAGTATAGCCTGTTGGGGCCGGGACCCCATGGATGCAGTGGAGGAAAACATACGCTGACAGGAATCACATTTATCCAATGTGTACTGTGGGTTTAACCTCCCAACAGTGGCTGGCACTTAATAGGTCTATAAATGTTGAAAGAATAATTCTACATACTTCTGAAACCTCACAACAACTTTGAGGGGTAGGTACTACCCGTGTATTTTGGTGAGGAATGTAAAGTTTGGTGAGGCTCAGTAACTTACTGAAGGTTGCATAGTAAGTGTTAGGTTTATCTGCCTCTGTAGCCTTGGGGACTTGTGGACCTCAATGTAGTCCAAACTCTTGGCTAGCTGGAGAAGTGGCAACTTTGGATTCAATATTTCTATTGTCTTCCCTGCTGTCATTCAGGAGCCTATATAAAACACCTGTAAAAAAGTTGAAGCACTGAACTTGGGAGACAGCAGACCTGTCAAGCCCCTTTAATGGGAACTGTTGTAGTCTTGAGCAAATCAGTGTGTCTGATGAGCTTCTGTTATCTATATAATGGGGATACAGTAATTGCCTTACCTGATTTCCAATGGTGGTGATGTTAAAATTTGTAAACTGAAAAAGAAAAGGATAATTCCCTCCCACAATAGTGTACTTTAGAATGAGAAATTTTCATAGTGGCTCAATCTTTTAATTGTTGCTGAATTTGGTTCATTCAGCAGCAAACATCAGTGGAACCTTATTCTGCATTGGACAATATTATGGTTTGTGGGGATACAAAGATTGAAAAATCCTCAAAAAGCTTATGAAATGGAAAAGGAAACAAGTGTGATATATTGTGATCAAAACTGTACACGTGAGTGAACAATGTACCCTGGGATCATTGAAATAGGGCCTTAAGTGCCCGGGTAAGTGAGGGGAGATTTTTGAGGAAACAGACTTGGAAGATGAGTTTGTCCACAGTAAAAGAGGGTAGGATAAAGCTAAGGGAGTTGCAAAAGCAGGAAGGAGAAAAGGCTGTTTGTTTTCAGAAACCATGGACAATTTGGTTTGGCTAAGTATTTAGAGCCACGGAAAAGTGTGGCAGGAGATAAAGTTCTAGGCCTTCTCTGATTAGGTTTAGAAGAGCTTTGTTGTAGAAATTGACAGTATCTCAATCACTGAATGAGAGCAGAAAGGGACATGATCAGCTATCTGGGTGGGAAAGCTCACCATGAAGCCCCAGGCAAGGAAAACGAATTTGAACCAGGGCAGTAGAAATGGGAAGATGGGGAAAGGCAGGAGATTTTTTAAAGATAAAATCAAGAGAACTGAATTTTGATCCAAACACCAATAGGACCTGGTGTCTGATTAGATGCAATATGTGGATGGGAAGGAATGTAGGATGAATCCAGGTTTTCTGGTTGGGCACTATTTGAAAAAGAAGACATGAGCATCATGTTTGGGGTTAAGGTGGAGGACTCAATATTAAGTAAGGAGAAATGACAAATTCCTACCTGGAATGCACAATTTGAGATGCCTGTGGCAATTAGGTGAAGATATCTTTTAGGTAGTACCTTGTCCTGACTGGAATTCAAGAGTGGTTTCTGAGGAACAGATTGACATGTAGGCAGTAACTGGTTTTTATTTATTAGTTTGCTCTGGGAGAAAGAAATGAGAAGAGTAGAGAAGGGAGCCGTACATGATAAACTCAGCGGTTGAAGAGTGTCACAAAATACTCTAGATCTGCATTTTCATTCACTATAGTTTCCCCTCAGTGTGCCGATTTTGCTCTCCTTCCTTTGGAGCTTCAGCTCCTCATACTCAACGGGAGTGATAATACAATCTATTCTGTAGGCAGCTGTGAGGATTGAGATCACATAGGTCATATATATTAAGTGACCAGTTAGTCATTGCTGCTGAGAAAAATTTTCTTCTGAGATTGTATGTGTATACACAGATGGAAGAGACAGAGAGAAGAGTAAGAGAGAACCAGAATCTTTGCTAGGTACCTAGGTACTGTTTTACGCACTTTCACGTTAATTAACTCTAATCCTCACAATAAAATAGAGTGGACGTTATCATTGTGAGAGAAAGCATCAGTGGCTTCTTGCCATTTTACAATGGGAAGTATTAGGTAAGGTGGTAGGTACGTTAGCAGGGAGTAAATAGTTTGGATTGAAATCCAAGCTATCTGATTCTGATTACGTGGATTTGGCTCTAGTATGGCCCCTTCTGGGGTCCCAAATCTTTTGGCTACCAGGCAGGGGTCTTAGGATTACTTTTTCCATCATTCTGAATTTTCCATCATAGATTTTTTTACCCTCCCTGGGAGTGTAAACTTTGTGAAAAACAAATCTACTCTTATTAATTCCCTAGGTAGAATACTTCAATTCTTTTAGCATAACATTCAATTTAAGGTCTTTCAATGATCTGCATTATTTTCAAAGACTGCATAATTCGTATCTTTCCGTATTTGTACCACGATTTACTTAGGCAGGATTGAGTCTTTAATTTCAGTATCCTAGGCCCCCAGCCAGCAGTGTACCTAGCACTGAATACGCACTCAATAAATGCTTAAGGTATGAATGAACTAAGAACCGGGGAACAGAGACTCAGAAGGGGGTCGGTCTGAGAGTTCTAAAGTTCGGGAGGGGACACGGGGGCGGTCAGTGGCTGTCACATGACGAGGCGGGGCAAATCCCATGTGCTCCGCGGCGCCGGGCGCGACTCCGCCCTTTGCGCCGGTCACGTGGGGGCGCCGGCTGCGCCTGCGGAGAAGCGGTGGCCGCCGAGCGGGATCTGTGCGGGGAGCCGGAAATGGTTGTGGACTACGTCTGTGCGGCTGCGTGGGGCTCGGCCGCGCGGACTGAAGGAGACTGAAGGTAAAGCCGCCATGTCCGGGCCCGACCCGGCCCCCCCACCCCCTCCCCCCGCATCCGCCGCCATCCGGGCCGGGACCGGCCACTCTGTGCCGCCGCCCCAGCGCCCAGGCTCCGCGGCTCAAGTCTGGGCCCCGGCCCGCCAGGGCCCGATCTCCGGCCCACGTGTGCTCGGCCTGGCCCGGCCTGGCCGCTGGGTGGGGGTGGGGGAGCGCGGGCCCGGAATATGCGGTCCCAGTGGCCTGGGAGGGCGCCGGGTTCGCCGGCTGCGAAGTGCCACCGCGGCCCAACCCGAGGAGGCCCGGCAGACGCAGGCACCCCGGCTCCGGGCCCGCCGCCCCCTCCCCCCTTTGCGGCCCGGCCGCCGGGAAGTGACACGTTGTTCTTTGGCACTGGCCGGCTTTGCGCAGGGAGGGCGCAGGAGAGGGAGGCGGCGGCGGCGGGCAGGGAGGAGCCCCCGGCCCCGCCCGCCCTCCAGGCCGACCCTCGCTTGCTTGAAACCGGCTCCTCTTCGGCCGCCGCCCGCCTGGCCTTTTACGGCCCGTCTCCCGCCCTTCCTGGCCTCCACTCCTGGGCGGCGGCAGGCTTTGCCTCTGGCCCTGCGCGGGTGCCCCCGCGGCCACCCACGGCAGGCGTGACTTGTGTGCCCCTGGGCCAGGCCCCGAACCCGGTGTCCCCAGGTGGGGGGTGGGGACACCACGGCCGAAGCTGCTAGCTCCGTTTGTGATCCGGGAGCCTGGTGCCAGCGAGACCTGGAATTTCCGGTCTGGTTGGTCTTGGGCCCCGCGGAGCCAGGTTGATACCCCTCACCTCCCAACCCCAGGCCCTCGGATGCCCAGAACCTGTAGGCCGCACCGTGGACTTTTTCTTAACCAAGGGGGTGAGTGAGGGGGTTGTTTCTGCAGGTGAGGGGGGTGGTTGGAGGTGATGCGGATTTGACAACGTGTTGGTGGGGACAGAAGCTGTATATGTTTTCTGCTCCTTTACCCCTTTGGCACCTCCGGGGCTCCGTGTGGGACCTAGCCCTTGC